ATCTGAGTCTCTTTCTGTTCGTACTCTCAAGTTCTGCTTCATTTCTATCTGCCTCATAGTCTCTCTTTTCACTGCCTCTAGAAGTATGTGTCATTCCGTCAGTGATCTCCCGAATTTTCTTTTGCAAATAAGTCCCACCTATTCCATAGCTGCGTTGCCCACTGTTCTTGTTACTGGTTTCACTGGCAAGCGATGAAGAGGATCCAGAAAGATTCATCTGACTGCAATTATCAGACCTCTGGATGTTACCAACTAAAAAAGAAATATAAAACATACAGACACTGGTAAAATGACATAACATGAACGGTAGTAAACTTTTTGACTTTGAGCTAATATATATGGGCTTTTCCCTCCTTTTAAATGGCACTGGGGTATAGCTCAAGAGAGAAAAACCCTGTAATTGAAGAGCTAAGTGAAGAGTATTCACGATGGGGTATTTCAATTGCTTATGAAGTGCACATCTAATTTTAGTAAAGTAATGAATTGTTAGCACAACAGACAGGACTGGATACAGATTGATCAAAACAAGTTAGTGATAAAAGAAAAGAAACAAGTTGAAAGCAAGTCAAACTAATGAAATAACCTTAAGAAACACAACATGGCTTCCACGGAACCAGATAAAAGTTAATAGAAATCACATGTTTTTAAGACACACAGAAGCAAAAGAAAGCCTTGAAAGCCCCAGCGTAGATCAAGAATTGGCACTAGGTCCAAGTAATAAAGCCACAAAGACACTTCTCATGCATATACTGTGAAAAAAATATATCAGTCATCCTCTTAAATGAAACAGTGTCTTATGATGGCAGAAAAAGATTCTCACGACATTCTTTGTCCAGTATGATCGGCCACTGAAACGGGCAAGAAGATTCAATAATGGACTTTTCTGGGACTTTTCTCCAATTGCTGAATCCTATTCTGTAGAGCCACAGAAGATGGTGGCACAATATCATCAGAGCACAGTGCAGCAAAAATTAGAATTTGATTAGAAATTTTTTTTGGTGGGAGTGGGAAAGAAGTTATTAATACTTCTTGCAAGACTTATCTTAATTATTAAAACATAGTGAAGCTAATTAAAACAGGAAAAATCATAATATAGACTTACTGCATAATTAGAATCAAAGTTAAAGGGATGCTGATGGATTCCTTGACATACTTACTTTAACAGAGCACTTTAAATTTGCTATAACAGATGTGTACATAAACCCTCCAAAGTAAGCACTCAGATACAGGGTGACTTTTGTAAAACTCCTCAAGTGACAGGCATTTTATTCTCGTTTACTAAAGTAACTTAGGAGTCTATTACAATGAGTTATAATCAAACTTTGGTTCCAAATTACTTGTCACTTTTGAAAATGGGACTTGGCAGATAAAAATTTTCTAAAGCGCCTAATTTTGGGCTTAAATGTGAAAAATAATGCAACTAGAAAAATAAATCATATTATATTTTACTGAAATACATTCATCTACTCCTACCATCAAACCTTTTCATTCTAAAGCTACTGACAACATAAAGGCGCTATATATACCCCAGTTCCCAGAATCAATTAAAAGAATCACTGAAAATGCGGGTAGGGAATACCTATAGCAAAATCCTGAGTTCCTCAGATTAAAGCTTCAGTATAACATGTAAACATTCACTGAAATATCCATACCTTTGCGTGGAGAGCCCTGAGGAGATGCAAGAGGACTGGAGTGCAAAGAAGATGCCATAGACACAGCATCTTCTGCTGGTTTCTTACTTACTTCCTCCGACAAACTTAATGACTTCTGAGGAGAACCTGTATCTAAGCAAATGACAGAGAAATTGGCTATGCATTATCTTTCTTTCAAGCAGTACATTTAATATGTTTTAATTGCAACATTCAAAGTGTACAATGGTTAGTGTATTCTACTAAAAAACATGAAGAAAAAGAGGTGTGAAATGATCAAAGGGATGTGTAACACAGGAGTGGTCTGCCATTTCAAATTTAGCTCAAGCCTGTAGTGGCCAAAAGATATTACAATCTAATGGTTGCTCAGTGGTCCACCTGAAATGAGTTTAGTGGTTTCCAAGTGATAATTGGAACCATCACAAGTGACAGGCTGGTCGGCAGTTCTGGCAGACACCAAGGACTGAATTAAGCTATGGGATCTGAAGTCCTCTTCCAGAGCACTGCTGGGACAGTATGGAAAAGCATATGCTCGTAGCATGAAGAGGGTCAGTTCAAGAGACAAAGCGTATAGGGAGCACAGCTGAAGAAAAACATGGAACTGGACCTTTCCAATTCCCTACTGCAGGTTCTGTATAGGGTAGTATGTATTCTATTAAATTCCCACTATGTTTTTCATCTCAAGTACACAAGACAGACATAAGACCTCTCTGAGTAGCTGTATGGCAAACACAGCTTTAAGAATACTTCCAACTGTGTACGACTCATGGGCAAACTAGAAAACAACTGCATGCCATTTTCAACAGAAAATATTATAAGGCCAGACGGAAAGCTGCTTGAGGTCTGCAAGAAAAATACACTTCACAGGCATGCCTATCTATGTGTGTCTCAGCAATTATGAAGATTATTACATAATACATCGGACTAGATGATCTGCTCAGGTCCCCTCCGACCCTACTCCTATGAATCGATGACACGTGAAAATCAGGTTATTGTATATGCAAAAAGATCTTTGCGTGCACAGAAGAGACGGTTACATGCAGACCATTATAATTTTAGCTTCATGCTTATTCAAAAATTAACATCGAGCATTTAGGAGACAGATGTGATGTTTCATTTGCTTTAGGATTTTTATTGCATGTGACATATTAGAGCTTGCTCTCTACTCTTTGAATGAGCTGGTGAAAAAACCAGGGAAAAATTGTTTTCTGTAGACTAAAAGTTCAGCCATTTGCACAACATACACCTAAGAAGGGACAAATATTTGGCTTTCATATCCTGCAGCGTTCAGAAGAAATGCACTGAGAAATGCAATGATTCTTACTATATTTTATGAGTTCACTACACAATCATACCTCCCGCCCTCCCAAACAAATCTTTTCAAAGAAAGACTATTTTATCCTGAAAGCTGAGGAGTATTATAGACTTAGTATTGTATTTATGTCTCCCCAATTTACTTTGCCAGCTGTTAGTAGTCATACTGTGCAGTGAGCACACAAATACACAGATGTGAACTGTTATGTTCACAACACTGTTTAAGGAACAGTCTGATTTACAAGTGTTTGAGAGGGTGTGACTGACACTGGAATTGCTCCAGGATCCAAGAGGCCTGACCTCCAACAGTTCAACAGGTGTCCTAAGCTATTTTCACAAAGGGAGGTAAGACTAAGTGGAACCAGGCCCACTTAGGTCTGGCATGAAAGTTTCAATAGGGAGCTGAGTCTGATTTCAGATGATGCAGGGGATAAATAAAACCTAATATCATTTATGTATGTGGAGTTTAAATCTTACAGCCTGCATCTGACAGGAGTAAGAAAAAATTGGATAGCGTGCTTAATATAAAATGAGTTCTACCCCCTTAATGGCAGCATTTTAATGTATGTTTTATCTCCTTGGATTTGCATTTTAAAGGCAGTTATGCAAGTCACGTGGCATAACACACTTGATGTACCATGCTGCTTGCTAAGAAACCGAGAGCGACTTGCATCACGTGGTAAAGAACTGAAAGCCAACTCCGAAAATGCATCAAGCTATCTAAAGTCCAAGCAAGGCCAATTGAGCAATATTCCAAAGCTGCATCTAACTGCTTAACACCTACGCTTTAGCCAGAAAGCTTAACTAGAGTACCTAAGGCTGTGTGTAGACGAAATGAGACACACATGTGCACGACACTTTAAAGTGGGCTACATACTGCACATTAATTCCAGCCACTGTAGGAAATTCGGCGGCATAATGCCCCTTAAATGACTTGGGGTGCAAGAAACAAACTCCTTTGAGCCGCGGAGCAAAGCACCAGACCCACAGCTCTGCAGGAAGTCCTGCAGACAGCCTGGGAAAGCCAGCTCCGCCCAAGAAAAGCAGAGAGCCTGATCCTACTTTTTCTCCCCCACCCTGAAGCCTGCCTGCCTGCCTGAGCTACGCAGGGGCCCAGTGCTTCCCTCCACGGCTGCAGTGCCCCCTGGGATCGCCTGAGCTGGGTGCCTGCGGGTGGGTGTCCGCCGCTGCCATGGAGGGAAGCACCAAACCCCCTCCCCTCCACAGCTCAGGGACGGCTCCGCCTGCCAGCAGCTCACCCTACCCTCCCTGCCGGAGAGGCAGGTAAGGTGTGTGCATGACACAGGGGTTTAATCAGCCCTAAATTGAAGCACTGCTTTTTAAACCCCACCGCTTCAATTGAGGGCCCCCATTTCGTCTACACACACCCTCAAATTCTGCTACTGTGCTGCTGCGCAGACCCATATCTAACTCTATCTTGACTGAGATGCCTGACACCTATCACATGCCTGTGCACTTTGTCTATGTATTTTAATCACCTGTCCTTTAAAAAGAGAGTATAAGCAGCTCCTGGAGCAGGCACGAAAATCTAGGACTCTGCTCATCCCAATCCCAGGGGAATGCCCCCCCCCCGGAACAAAATCATGCTCGTTATTTGCTCTCCTTCCAGTCCCATAAACCTTGCATTCCTGTCTACGCAGTAATCCAACTTCAGTAAGAAAGATGGAAGAGATTTAAATATTTTTGCAGCAATTTCATGTATTGGCTTTAGAATCGGTAATTTTAGAAAACAAAGAAAATAGCTAAATAAAGTGCCATTTGATGCTCACTAAGAGTTACTAAAAAAATTAAAACATATATTTCATGTTAGACCATAATGCTATTACAATGGCTCTCCAAGCCTTGAAATATTAAATTTCCTGTGATTTATTTTTGTGATTACACTCCCTAAAATATATTATATTAATTATGTTATGAAGGTAAATAAGTAATATAATTCTACTCAGTTTGGTAAGAGTCCCATTCAGGAAAAGAGCAAAAACTTGTTAGGCACAACGTTAAATCAATTGTTACCTGACTGGTTTTGTTGGCGGGCTTAGGATCACTTTCATTAGCCTGGTTTAGAAACTAAAGCAAGCTAACTTTTTCAAATACTACTCTTTGTAGCAATGTTTTTCTTCTTGCTAATTTATAAATTAGGGAAGAGGCCTATAAAATTAAAGCAAGAGAGCATCTTTACAGACGCTGGGAATCTCATAATTAAAACATTAAGAACAAAGACATGAGCAAGTAATTCAGACTACCTTTCATATCCTCTTTTGAGATGCACGTTATGGCCAGGCACAGACATTACACTTGTACTGGTATCAGTGATCAGAAACCAGTCTTTACTCATAACAGAACAAAGTTCAGCATACAGGCTGGTTTAAAAATGGCAGAACCTGGTCTAAGATTTACCCCTTCCCCCTCCACTAAAGGGCAAATACATGTTATGTTCACTACCAATCTAAACTACACCACTTACAGAAAACCATGCAACTTAGATCAATTCTGTGCCGGACTTTTTCAATGTCTGTACCTAGCCCATGTTTTGTTATACAGCTAAATGGAAATGTATTTGAGACGTTCTGTAGGTGAAAAGGATACAGAAAACCTTAAAATACAGAACGTATTGTATAGGTAAGTATATTTACTTGCATAACGAGTATTTCAAATATTTGGTTGTTGTGGAATGCAACTCCTCTCTTTACTGAACTGACACAATACACAACTTAGAAAACTGAAAATGTGAAAATAAATTGCAAATACTCACTAAAAGTGACGTGGTCCTTTGCTGGTCCCTTTTTTCTAATGGGATACAAATTAACAGCAGGAACTTGAAGAACTTGGCTCATTCTGTTTTGCTGATGCTGCTGAACTTTTGTGGTTTGGCCAACTGACCTCAAGGGTACTGGAGACATTTCTGAGGATTTCCCACCTCTTCTCTCACTTAAATTCTTTGTCACTGTTTTAAAGGAAAAAAATCCCAGAAAATAACCAATCTTCCACTCTAAACAGTAAAATTGTTATAGTTATCTTGAAGACATCAGCCAGACAATAGCAGCCACATTTGAACATTTTATCATATGGCAAAAGTAGATGCAATCAATTCAAGGTGCTCCTGACTTCTTTAATTTTTACATTAAGGCCTCCAAAATCTCTCTTAAAACATTCCTAAAACTCTTCAGAATAGTCATACAGGCAAAATGACAAAGCAAAAATGGTCTGGTTTACTCATTTTATCTGAACTCCACAGAGAAAATATTGTATTACTGCAAGCATACAAGTGTTCCCTTGTGAAAAGCCTAAGCACAACACACAGGACAGAAAATAGATGCTTGTCCTTCACATGGCATTACAAAACTCTCACTAGGTGGCACACTGTACTTGTAGCACAAGATGAATTGTTTCAGTTTTTACTTCAACTACTATGCAATTACTAAACTTGTTTTCGAGTTAGTGCCATTTATGAAGCTGAATTTTTCCCTTAAATCAACTCTGCAATATCTGGATTACAGAACTGGAGCCACTGCTATTCTGGCAACCAGAGTCAGGGCTTCAAGCCTTCCTTCAAGCCTTGCTAGTATCAAGTCTTGCTTCAAGCAAAGTTGGGAGTATTTTCATATTCAGAAAACTACCTGAGAGGTAACGCATTTGTACCTTTCTGGAGGTCTGCAAAAAAGATTACCTACACTAGGGTAGAAGTCCATGAATCAAGCCTCTGACTCAGGAGGACATTTAAACATGAGCCTAAATTTAAGAGTGCGAGTAAACCCATTGAACGCACTAGGATCAACACAAGTGCTGCAAGTTAGGTGCATGCTTAAGTAGCTTGCTAAACTGAGGCCACGTTTCTTGCTAAACCGAGGCCACTGTGCCACATTTCTTTTCATTCACTATTTCCTTAGCAGGGTAAGAGTCAGAAAAGAGAATTAATATCTTACTGGGATAGGTAAAACTAGTTCTTAACGTGAAACACTGGCTGGAGTCTATATTTGACAGCTGAGAATAGAGCATGCCTGGTCACCTATATTCAAGTCTTCCACTTGCACAAGTTGTTCACTGCTTATGTTTTAAGATGACTGGTACAGGATTCCAAAGCAACTCCTCCTAGCTGGTTAGTGTAAATCAACCGATGCATCTCAAGCAAAACTAAGGAAGTTATTCTCCTGCTCTACTTGGCATTCGTGAGGCCACAGCTGGAGTACTGCGTCGAGTTCTGGGTGCCATGCTTCAAGAAAGACGTGGAGAAGCTTGAGAGAGTCCAGAGAAGAGCCACTCGTATGATTAGAGGCGTGAAGAACAAGCCATACAAGGAAAGGCTGACAGATATGGGATTGTTCAGCTTAAAAAAAGAGAAGACTTTGGGGGGATTTGGTGGCAGCTTACAAATATATATCAGAGCTGAGCATCATGGGCTAGGTGAACAACTATTCATCAAAGCGTCCTGGGGAAAACCAGGAGCAACGGTCAAACTCCTAAAAAAAGGTTTCAGACTGGATACAAGGAAAAACTTCTCCATGGTTCATGTGACCAGACTCTGGAATAGACTCCCAGCAGTGAGGAAGGGGTGCAGGCACCTACCCTGGAGATCCTCAAAAGGAGACTGGACACGCACCTTGCTGGGTTATTTGACCCCCGCAGTCTTTCCTGTCCAGAGCAGGGGGGCTGGACCCGATGATCTCACGAGGTCCCTTCCAGCCCTAAACTTCTGTGAATCTGTGAAACAGTTTCCTTGCCTCTTATTTCAGCTAGTTGGAAACCTTAGTAGAGCTCTCTATCACATTTACTCATGTGTACCCTCTTATAAAAGGCTCCCAAAAAGTAGACTTGGATTGCTTGGGCCCATAGAACAAAACAATCAATAAAGACCACAAACTTTTTATTGCTAAACAAATACCTAAACCTCCTGTTGCATAAACAGGACAGATAGTACTTGAAGTCTGGATACATGATTTATTTATGAGAATTGAAAGATGACCTCATAATGTTCATGTTTCTGCCACTTGGGCATAATAAGGTCATCTTTCAAGTCTGCATGTAAATCATATATTGAGACTTCATCTTTATATGTTCTATTATTTATTGACACTGCTACAGAAAATGGAACATAAAAATAAAATGTAGTTTCTGCCTTTAAGCATGAACTTAATGTGCTATTACCATATTTGCTGAACAGATAGGACAAGTAACAGAAAGGCTCTGTTAATATTTTGCATCTCTCTCTCAAGGACAGCTGTTTTGTTTCTTTAGGTGTTTAGCAGAGTTTCAAATGCAATGAGAGAATATATATGGATTTCATGTCCTTAACTAGGCACAAGTATGCCCATCTGCCAGAGTTTCAAAGAACTACCATTACTAAAATAAACTAGTCACATTCTCTTAGTACTGTTAACCCATTAGTAATATGAGCATATTATTTCTTGTATCATAAAGGACTTGAGATGTCTATTTAGCTATTGAAGTGCTCCGAAATCCTCAGCTGCAAGCCAGTCAACAAGTGTACAGTGTTAATCTCACCTGCTAATGTACATTTTTTTCTTTTGCTAAGTAACCTCAATTTCTTTAAGCCATGTCAAATAATTAAATATCTAAATCACATGGAATTATAATGCTTATTTTAAAAATCTAGAAATGTACTGAATTGTCGGGCTATTCAGCTACGATCTAGTTTAGACTATATTTAATTAGGCTGTTTCACGGGAATTCAGTTTGCAAGTTCTCTTGCCACAACCCTTCATTTCTGATTATCAAGTTGTATCAAGCTCATCAGTCAATATTGGCATACCTCTCCTTTCTGCTGCTGTTCTCTTATTTTAAGCCATAATACATGAATTAGCTTATCTGTACCTTTCCACAGACAGATTCTATATTGGTTTTGTGTCTTTTCATTTCCTCGCAGTTCATATTGTAAATGTTACTTCCATCTTTCCCTAATTCTGTAAATTGACAATGCGGCAAGAGCAGATCTAATGCACTATACAGTTCTTGGCTATACTGATCAAATGACGCACATCTTAACAAGTAAAGGTCAAAAATAAGGAGCCATCACTCCAAGCTTCTGCAAACTCAACCAAAAACAGAAGCCAATGCTGGGCTGCTGAAACTGCCCTAGCCAATTTGTTAGCATCTGCACTGGCAAACGTTTCTTATTGCAGATACTTTAGGAAAAAATAATTCTGAAGCTATGTTTGAGGGGTAAGCTTATCATTTTAAAATCTTGTATGCAACCAAGAAGTGACAATCTCTGAAGAGGATTGTGCTAGCAGAAGTAACACAAACATCCATTATGGTTTTAGCACATCATCATAATCAAAAAGGTTGGTAAGGCAAATGGGATAATCCATTTCTCTGGCGGACTGAAATGACGCTTGCTTTACTTACAAGTGCTATATGCAGGCTCGCACTGAAGTGACATGATCTGGAATTTTTCCTCATCAGTTTCTACATTCAGGTTGGACAGGTACTGCTTCACCTTTCTGGCCATCTGGGCATCCTCATATAGCTTCTTGGCATTAAGGAGCGAACTGCGTCGGGCACGTTTTTTGTGAGCACCTCCTTGAACATCGAGCATATTTGAGTTTGTGCTGCCCTGGCTCAGAGACCTACAAAATAATAAGAGTGCAAAGCAGTCAACTTCAGGTTTGCTTCAAGACTGAGGTGCTAAGTAGAATTTGCTGAAGCAGATTAATACCAAAACTCTTCAGTTAGGGCTAGTGCATGCTGATGCAAATGAGTTAGAGAGATGAATAGCATTAAAACAACATCTGTCTTAAAGTAATTTGGTAAAATTGATAGCAGCATTTTGAATCTGGAAAAGGATTGTACTCATGAAAGTGTGGAACTGGCAAGAACCAAAAAAAAATGCTGTGCAAGCTTCTAAACGGCTGTGCTAATGTAATGCATCTTAGTCTTGTTCTCCCAAATCCTTACTATATCAAGCCAAGCTTGAGCTGGCAGACAAATTTCGTAAAAACATTTAAATAGTTTAAGTCATTTCACCCCCCTGCCCCACAACTGACTAGTTCCCTGAGTCTGAACACACCTAACTCCTCAAGACTCAAATGACTACAAAGAAATAATTATTGAATTCTCCTACTATATCACTGAGCAATCCCAAAAATATAAGGAAATACTCAATTTGTAAAAAACAAAAAACAAAACGAAACCAAGAAAGGAAGTCAAGGTCTCATATATGCAAAGTTTATTAAACCACTCATAATTGATTTGTTTTGGCACCTACTAAGGATGGAGATTTTTTTTTAATTATGCTCCTCACAGAACTGGATTGACGTATAGAAAACAGTAGCTAGAGATGGACAGTGATATTCTAACCGCTGCTCTGGCTACCCAATCAACATGTTTAAGCCCAGACTGGACAGACCTCATCTATGGATAACTGTGACAGTTTTTCAATGCCCCTTCATTGCCCGTAAGGTCAAAGGACTCTCTTTTTTGAACAACTTGCTTCAGTTGGAAGTGGGACAGAAATCACCATTTGTTTAACTAGAACTGCCAAGGATTCATTTGACAGTTACTACTGTTGGTTACTATCCAACTTGGCTAGCTCTTCTAGCATCATAAAGTCTCACACTTTCTCAGCTGTGTGAGTATAACAGAAAACCTGTCCTGGTCAATAAAAAAAAAAAAAAAATCTGTTACAAATGTTGATCAAGGCAAACACATTGCAAGGTAACTTCTAAAACAAGCTTTAAATCAAATTTGTATAAACTATTCAAACGTGTATAAACTATGCCTAAAAGTATCCACAAGAATAAATATTTTCTTTTAAAAGTGAATTCGGTGTAAACAAATTTGCGAAGAGCAATGACTTGTTTAAGGAGTCATGCATGGCAGGATATACAGCCTCAGGTATACAGGAAGGCAAAAGACTAAATGATCTGGGTTGTCAAATAGCAATGTATCACAAAATTCACAGGAGAAGTTCAGGAGAAAGGAACCATAATAGGAAGATTCAGAAATAAGCCTATTGTTTAAAGAAAAAATTAACAGAGCTGGGCATGTTGAGCCTCAGGACAAGAAGAATAGGAGACATAGCCGTCTATTATACAAAGAATGGCATTTAAATCACTTACAGAGCTCAACCACTTTCATCAAATTTAGATTAATAATAGGATCAAGATGCAAAAGAAAGTTATAAGTTAAATATGTTAAAAAAAACCAAATATTTGTTACAGGCTTTCAAAGGGCACAAACTCACAAGAGGAGTTCTTGAATCATCATTGATTAGGTGCATTCAAACCTGGTGGAGGCACCAGTCAGAGATTTATGGCTAAGGAATAATGAAAGACTATACCTCGAACTGTATGAACCATGTAACTCGGTGATATTTAACAACTCCTACCTTGCTCTATGTTGGTGGCACCTGCTGTCAAGCCCTGAAACATGCATAGTCTGCCTGTGGGATGTGGAAGGGATTTTTTTTAGTATCTATTCTGTTACTGAAAATTGGAGAATGCATAGGTGAGAACTAGCTTCAAACTATAAATGGGATCATACCCTTTCTTGCTTGAATATGTATAAAGGAGACCCAAAAGATTCATTATCTTTTCTATTTTTATGGGGGGTTTTTTCCTTTAGAAATTCACGTTTTGAATTATTTTATGGAATACAAGCCACCATCATTCTTCTATGGAATATGAGAATCTTTTATGGATGCCCTGAGAACTAATGGATTTATGTCCTCAAAGGGACAAGAGTTGCTATTAATTTCAATTAATTTCATTGATCATACTTCTTCAGTAGCATAAGTTGGGGGGGTGGGGGGAAGAGGAAGGGAATAACCAGATCGGAAGCCTCAGGTGCCACCTTTTCAGGGGAAGGGGATCAAAATATAACTGCTGCCACAGCTAGCCAAACCACAACTGATGACAGCTCGGCAATAAGTGTTGCCTTGTGCAGAGCCACTTCCCAAGGTGCCAAGCTGCCCTGTAACACCTCTGTCCTGCTTTCTCGGTTTTAATGGTTTTAGCTCCTATTTTGCATTCCTTATACAATAGGGCTGTGCGAAACAGCACCGTTTCGTTTCAACTTCCGTTTCGAGTTTCGTTTTGAAAGCACTGTTCCGTTTTGTTTCGTCAAAACTGTTTCGCTGTTTCAACATTTTGCCCATAGGCTATAATGTGGAAGCACAAAACTGTCTGTAACTTTGTCACTTCTTGCCTGATTTGGATGAACCTTTCAGGGATGGCAGTCCCTTCTGAGGGGCATGAAGCCTGCCAAGTTTCAAGGAGATAGGCGCAGGATGGGAAATTGCACCTCCAACTCCTGAAAGCAAACCTCGTGTCATGTGTGAGTTAAGGCGCAGCAGGGTGAAAACTGCAGGGATTGTAGCTCCTGCTGAGGCCATGGAGCCTGCCAGCTTCCAAGGAGATAGGTGCAGGGGTTTCTCGGAAAGTGCACCTCAGGCTGCTGACAAACAAAACTTGTGGCATGTGTGACTGTGTGTGTGTTAAGGCACAGTGGGGTGAAAACTGCAGGGACGGTAGCTCCTGCTGAGGCCGTGAAGCCTGCCAAGTTTCAAGGAGATAGGTGCAGGGGTTTCTGGGAAAGTGCACCTCAAACTGTTCACAGCAAATATTGTGCCACTTGTAAGTGTGAAGGTACAAAGAAAGCTCAGTTCAGACAGTGCTTTATATGCTGTTTTTCCGTCCCTCCCCCAGAGCACTGGGGTTGGAAGGGACCTCAGGGAAGGATGACAGTCACTGACCAGCTACACAGTCAATATGAGAGCTGTCCTTCCCCCCCTCTTCCCCCTTCCTCTCTCTCTCCTTAGTTTTTCTTTAGCTGCAAGCAAGCACAGGTTCAAAACTCAAAACGTTTTGAAACGTTTCGACTGCCCTCGTTCGTTTCGAAGCTGTTTCAAAGCCTTTCGTTTCCTTCTGATGTCGCTGTTTCAAGCTCAAAACAAGTCGAAACAGCGTCAAAATGAAACAGGCAGTGAAATTTCGCACAGCCCTATTATACATCCAAAACTCCCAATGAAGCCAATGAGGATTTTGCAATGTGCCTCAAATGCAAGCCATGATACTTTGTAAGTCTGGTTTAAAAATACAAGATATTGCAATTAACAATTACAACTGAACCCCATACTTTGAGATGATTATAATTTTGCTAGCCCAATACATGTATACAGTATAAAACAATGCATGTTGATTTAAACTTTTCAGACAGGTTTTAAAAGTTGTTTTACTTTTTTTCAAAAATAGTTTTCATTTCACTGTAACTGGACATTTTTTTTTCTTCTGCAGTAAATTTCAGTTAAAGCAACTTATCTATAATATGAAGGTAACACAGGATCTTTATACCACAGGTATAAAGTTGACTGAAAAAAGTTTACCACCTTGTTTCTGTTTCCCCCTATGTCTGTATACCAAAAATAAGTATTGCAGGGTTAATAAAATGCATGCTGTATTTCAGAAGCATGCACTAATGAGAAGGATGCAGTATGTTAAGAGTTTGCATAACCTTTATTTTATCTTAGTTGCATTCATCTCTACACTTACCCCAAACTCCTCCACCTCTTCTTCCTGTAAGCAAGAGCCATATACATTGAAGCATGTATTTGAACAGAAAAGCACAGGAAAAATATCACAGTTGAGAGTCAGGAAGAAAGATGTAGACAGGAAAGTCCAGAAAAGAAAAATTTCTATCAGGCAAAAATACTTCTCAAACAATAACACAAGACTTTAATGGAACAGTTGGGGAGGACACTTTACAACACTAGAATGAATACAGAAGAACATACAGCAGGCTTTTCAGTTTTAAACCTTCATGTTTAAAACTAAACTCCAGTTAAATTTTCACATTAAATAGCCCCCACAAATGAGTTTACTTTGTGGATGACGGCTTTGTATTTTTTAGAGCTTTGATAGTTTTGTATTTTTCAGAAAGGTTCAAACTGCAGTAAGTATAACAAGATTAATTTAATTTAGTGCAGTATGACCATTATAATCCTAATGGGTAACAAGACCCTTACAAATGGATATTATGCTTTTTCATTTTGATTTGCTGGAAAAAAAAATTGCCAAATAAATGCTGGAGAATTAAATGTCCTATCCTAATTGGTAATAAACTTGTCAAAGGACTTGAATTAGCACTTCTTGTTCATTTGTGTTCTACAAACAAAAACGTTTTACTGGAGCTTTCACAGGACAGGGAAACCAATTGACTAGGACAGAAGCAACAATGAAAATGAATGTAAATGAACTGAAAACAATCTTTTCTCCATTAATTTCTGATTCCACTTGTAACAATAGTACACTAAGCATTTTCTGAGAGCATTTTGATAGTTAAATTGATGCACTCCTTTAATAAGCACATTGTAATTTAGAAACATAAAATCCTAAGTATTTATTGGTTATTTTTAAATATAATAATTAAACCATTAATGAAGCATTTAGTCAACAAGGGAAATGTTTATAGACCCAATCTGTACATACGTTTTACGCATATAACAAATGGTTTCTACGCCACTAATTCATCAAGTTAATTATTTTTTAGCTTTTTATATTATTTTAAATACTGATGCTTATTTGTTCACACTATCATGAAAATGAACTCCCAGTCTGGAAAGTGAAGATCTTAAGATGACATAATGAGTCTCCACATGTATACCTTAGTACTTTCATATTAAATTTACTCTACTTTCTAGTAAAATTGTGCTTTTTTCAAAGTGCCAACTTGGAAGTTTCACCCTGACAAATGAAGGTCAAGCTGGCAACCATTAATGTAAAACTTCTGCAGGCAAAACTCTGCCTGAGAATCTCGTTTCTTCTCATTACGGCTTCATTTATTCCAATATGCTATTGCCTTCAGTTACACAGATGTAACTGAGGACATAATTTGAAGACAATTAAGACTGCACAGGTGGCTCATCAATGGGAACTTAGTTAACATTCTCACTGATGATTCATGAGATGCAATACAGTCCGTACTGCTCCCTCAAAACTGTTCTTGTTCTGAAGGATACAGTAGTAAAACCCTGTTTTCTCTTTGCTAAAATAACCCAAGTAATCCTATACTGATTGAGTATATGCAGAGCAGATCTCCTGACCCAGATGCTAATCATGTCATTTTCAAAGTCATAAAAAGTTAATTATTCAGTTTAGAGCATCCCCCTTGATCCAGCTGCCGCCAGTCACACAATAGCACTTGTGGCCTGCCCAGCACAAGCTAGTTTGGCAAGCTGCAGTAGGGCAGGGCAGAGGAATGCACATAGCATCTCCATGGATCACATGACTCAAACACATTACACAATTGGCACAAAGTAGCTGCTGCTTCTATTCGAGCCAATGGATTGTGAGCAACTTAACAGCTGTCTGGGGTCCAAACTGTAAGTGGCAGTGATTTCATTTGCAGTCCGTGTGCATACAGCATATAGAGAATGATGATGTTATTCCTGTGCTGCTACTACTACTGCTAACAAAACCCTCTTCACCTATCCCCTGACCAATTACAACTGGAAGAATGTTCCTGGGTTGCATAATGAAATTAATACTGTATTTTGCTACTATATCTCAAGATACTGGTCACATTACGGATAATCACCAGTCATATTTGTGCTTAAAAGCATGCTAAATATATATATGCTAATCTTACCATGTCCCATTTCAAATCATATTTTTTACTTTTAACTCTAATCACATCCAGCACAGGTAAGTCCTAGATGGAACCTCAAAACCTGGCCCAAATTAACCATTAATTGTTTTGTTAAGGGGAGAGCTATCTGTGTTAGTTTTAAAAATAAGCTAAACCATTTAATTTTAGTAGCATTAATGGTATCACCATAATGCAACTTCCTTTGGTACACGTTTCAGTTTGATATGTATTAATGAGAAATGAAATTAGTGGACTGTAAAACAAATTCATGCACACATACAAACCAACATCCCTACCCACAGTATCAAAGCTATCTTTAATCCTTTTTTTTTTTTTTTTTTTTTAATTGCACACCTTTGCCTGAACATTACAGCCGGATCCATGTTAGCAGAGGTCATTCTGATAACTTGCCGGATTTCTTTGGCAATCATTCTGAGTTTCTCAAAATTTACCAGGCCATCCACTTTGGAATCATTTCCTGTGCAATTTAAAACACAGACAAAAAGTATAAGCAACACAGAACTTTTCTAATAACACATTATTAATTCAAACATCAGTCAAAATCAGGAAGTAGCACAGTGGCAAAGCAGACGTGCCAGTTAAGCCCACTCAAAGTAATTTAGAAAGGCTAGCTCTGCCCTTGTTAGACCAATTCTAAAGTGGCAGCTGCCAGTAGGAGGAACATGGAATAACTTGACTAGGAACAATTTATCTTCATATGTTATATAACTATACAACTGACATCAGCAATGTTTGCCCTTTTAAAATTACTTCAAGCAATTCTGTGGCATTACATTTAAGGATATGGCATATTTGATATCCTTTAAAGTTGACTATTTGTAAATGGAAAACAGTGTTAAAAAGGGAGGTGTTATAAATAAATGGGAGTATTTTGAGTAGGAAGTGGTGCACCCTGTTAACTTTCTGCAAGCCACAACATGAAACTAACCCCACAAATATTACAGTAGAAACATACTGGAAGTAGCCCAATTATTGCTTAGCATAATCAAAAGCTCTTCCATCCTAACACTGGAGGTAGTGAAGATTCCAGCACAGCTTTTACAATATTAAGCATTTCCACCAATTTTTTTTGTCAAGGATCATCCTCTTCTATTATGCATTCTACATTTTATTTACTTTAGTTGGATTGATAGAGAGATAGAGGGTGCATCATACCACTGGTTTCTTCTTCTTAGTCATTTTCTACAGACCACCGGACAATGAGGAATAAAGGGTTAAAGTGTTATTCAGTGTCTTGCTTTATTACTTCCATATGTCTGGAGTTACCTTCATGTAGAAATGTAATATCCTTCTTGACAACGGGGAAGAGTGGAATAATTGGAGGCTGCATGCTCTGACTGCTAAGAATATTGCGATATTTTGCCATGTTTCTAGATGGATCAAAAAGATCCTGAAGGTCTCTGAAATGCTTTTCATACTTGCTAGGTAATTTTTCCCAGGTACCTCTGAGTCGTGCTACCGATGCCAGATTTAGCCCACTGTAAAAAAAGATATATTTTACATTAAAAGCTAAGTAGGATTTGTGGCATTCAGAAAGCTGGAAAGGGCCGTTTTATTTAGGCAAAATAGAGTTTCACAAAGTTGACCTGAAATCTGAGTGCTTCCTATACTGCCAGCATGTTATGAATAAACCATAGCAAGTGAAAATTAAAGTATAACAGTTGTTTCATAAAACACTAGTAAGAAGAATGTTTCTAAAGCAATCTATTACAATTATACATTACCAATGGCCACTTAACTTAGTAACCATTTTATGCCTGTAAAAATCTATACCACAGTAAGTCTAGAATGGATGAAAAGTTAATGAGGCAATTAGGAGGTCTAGTTGAAGTTACAGTAGCAAACCAAGCATGTGTAGCAGCACCCGGAGAATTTTAAGAGCACATCAAAAGCCTTTTAGATAAAGTACTGATGATTCAATAGAAGCAATAGAAATATTAAATCTTGTTACTGCATCTTTGATTTTTTTCTGATCATTGTAAAATACTCCCAAAGATTGTAGAGAGGTGTCAATTTTAGAAACTAAATTAAAATGTCCATCCTTTATGGCATAATTGCTGAAGTATCAGCTTACTTTAATAACTTCCTTGTTAGAGAGTGCTATATAGCCCCCAACAGTGCAAAATAGCAAGTGGAGTGCTATCCTGAATCAGGCATCAACAAAACTATAGGGTGAATCCTGATTTTCCAGAATCTCTATTGTCTAGGTTAAGAAGCAGAACACACAGCAATCTATACAAAGAGCTGGTTAACTTTGCAGTGCTGGCAGGTAAAAAAAAATGGCTTTGATGCATTCCCTGAACACATCTGGAAGGACAAATAGGTCATTTATATAGAGTAGAATGATTTTTACAAAAAGAAAAATATTACAACTGCCAAGAAAAGGATAGCTTGCCCCTCGCGCTCTCTCCCCCTCTCGTCTACATGCCCTTCTTACTATAGGAGTTGTTTCATTTCAGGAGATATACCATTTGAGTTCGGAGTCCACAAGTATTGCTCTTGGGCACCATTAGGCGGGTACCTAAATCAGCTGCATTCAGCCGCAGGCCCGTAACCTGTTTGCTCAAGTATCTGACCAGAACAAAATGTGTATGTACACTACATAATTTAACAATACAGAGGGGTCATATCTAACCTGTTGCTTTTAAGTCACTAAACCATGGTTTGCAGTTATTCACCATGATATCTCCCTATGAAACCCAAACAGTTCTCCCTTCATAAGTCTCAAGCAGATCCTAGAAAGACACCAAAAAATTAGGCCTCCTTGAAATATGACCAAAAAGGAATTAGCTATAATTTTGCTTATTCATTTTTTTACCTATACTCCCACAGAAATCAATGTGTGACGATTAACTTATTCTCTGGCACAAAAAATATGGTCCCCCCCCCTTTTTTTTTTAAGACCATAATTGAAATTGGGATTAATTCCTTTTCCCCATCACAATGCTTAACCTAGACAAGCAGATTAGGGCAATTAAATGCTGCATCACATTAAGTAAGGGAGTAAATAGCTTCTATCACTATGGCCAAAGGACACTACTGGAATTATGGAGGCACTTCTCATCCTTGACCTCCCTAATGCAAAGTGGGAATGCACCTGCTTGCAACCCATTAAGTGTGCGCATCCAGAGCTGCCTGCATGACCACCTAGGTCCTAGAGGTACTGGCCATATGGGATGGGCTGGGTCGCAGACTTCCCCTTCTCTGCGCCTCCCTGCAATTTGCCACTGGCCTCTCTCATTGGATGCAGTGGGAGAAAGACTCATTGCTCTTTACTCACTCCTCTCTTACAGGCACTCATGCAAGGCAGAGTGTTGGCCTTTAATACATTATCAGCACTCATTTCCAGCCCCGCAGAAGTGACTGAATTGAATTCTGGGATGTCAAAATCAGTTAAACACAGACAACGATCAAGACATATTTTGTTTGTGAAATAATTTGGCAGCCCTACAGAAAAGACGGCATCCTCAAAATGGACTTATTTGTCTATTCTTCTAAATGATTACCACATTAAATCCTTTAAATGTGAACAGTATTTTCAATTAGTACAGTTAAATCTTCCAAAGAATAGTTAATCCTCCAGCTGCAATATGGTTTTCATGATAAAACTTTTTAAAACCTTCCATTATAGTAAAATAGCCAAATTATAAAATCGATGAAACAATTTAATCCTTTAAGTGCTATACTATTTTTTCCCAGAAATTTCAGTTAGGAAAACAAAGCTGTTAACCCTGGAATAGCAACAGATTATGGCTTTTTACCTCTAGCTCACTACTTAAAAACCAACCTGAAAGGGCTCAATCTATAAAGAGTGATAAAAATCACACTATTGTCCTTAAGAAGAAACGCTGAAAGTGGTTAAGGTTGAAATTAATCCCAATTTTCTAATCATGGATGAAAACTTCATAAATGCTCAAGGCATTGTAAATCTGCGTTTCATCTGCTTATTGGTTTGTGTAAGGAACTACTGGTATAAGTATAGTTCTCAGTTTTAACAGTCTTTTGTGACATTGATGGGTTTACAAAGCTTGAGCAGAAGACATAATCCTTCTTAGTGGTCTCTTGTGGGAGGTATGTGCATTCACAGATTATTAATGAAAAGGCTACAAAAATAACATTTTTGGCATCAGATTCCGCACACAGGTGATACCAGAATTCTTTTCAATCAATTTATCAAGTTGCTAGCAATAACAACAGCAAATAGTGAGTAAATAAATGGATTTGTATTCACTATTTTTTAATAAACCTTACTTAAGGTAGGCTTGTACTGTGCTTGACACCTTTTGTCATTTTCTGAAACACTAATTTGCTCCAATTTGTCACAATACTTTTAATGGCCTTTAATCATATCAGTAATCTGCTTAAAACACAGTTACTATTTTTAGGGATACAGACAAGAACTATAAAATGTGCTAGTTTTACTGTCAGATTTGAAGCATTATGATTCTGAAATATAACGTGCTGCAAATTTTCTCATACAAGTCTGGTCTGCTAGTTTAATAAAATCACAGAGGTGTAGATGGGGTACTTGCACATAACATCCTAGTGCCCACAAATATTCAGAGCACTTCAACATTAATACAGAAGGACAGTCCTAAAAAAAAGAGTTGAAAATCTAAACAGCGGAAGCATTCTGTATAGATTAGAACACAAAGTAGGAAAAACCTTTGCTATTTTGTAAATCATGCAAAAATAAATCTAGAATATGATTTAAGCTGCAAAATAAGGCACACCTGAAATCATGTAATATATTTTTTATCATTCTAGTCATATTACAAGAAGATTATAGAAAATGTATAAGTGAGTGTGCTACTTGATACAAGGGGCTAATGGTCTTAGTTTGCCAGGTCATAGCAGCTTACACTGTATTCTTAAGATGATTCTTTCTAAAGAAAATGATGAAAATACTAAATATACAGCAAAACAACCGATAAGGTAGGAACCTCACTGAGTCTTAAATTCCCAAAGGGAAGAGAATGGTTCAGTGCAGCCTCTTGCATGCCAGGCATACAAGATAAGAAGGGACAAGCTTGAGCTGGGATAGTTGTCAGTACTAATGCAATTTAGGAGGATTTTGTTTTCACAGAACTACTTTATGTAAAAAATGACTATGAGTAACACTGACCCACTACTGTGATAGTCTGAAGTGGCAGACATGGCCCAGTGGATCTAAAGGAATATATAACTTTACTATCAATAAAGCCACCTGCAGTATACCCCAGGACACTAAGGAAAAATGGCTTAAATTACTGTATCAGAGTTGGCAAGTCTCTTAACCTATAACAGCTCAGTCTTAAAGATGAATCATGAAATGAAGGGAAAAAAAAAACACCTCTGTATATGCCACCTAGATCTGTTTACACATTTACAACGTCTAGTCCTAGGTGTCCCATCTGGTATGCTTTAGCTAGATGCTACCTTCCTTCTCCATGCTAAACCTCTCTCTCTAGACCTGGAAAGAGAAACTGCCAAGACAGTTTTCTTAAAAGTCTTTACTTCTCCCAGGGGATCCCTAAAGTTATATATTTCCTTATATGTGCATAAGCAGTATACAATGCAGTCACAGCCCTAAGTGTCCTACAGTATGACATAAAATATTTGTTCATGTAGAGAACTCCCTGATCATAGAAGTAGACATGGCTTTGTAAATTAAGCTAAAGCAGGGGCGGGCAATTATTTTGGGCGGAGGGCCACTTACTGAGTTTTGGCAAGCCATTGAGGGCTGCGTGACAGGCAGCCAGGCGCAGATAAATACTAATTTTCTAAATTTTTAGGGGCCCCGTGGGCTGGATAGAATGGCCTGGTGGCTCACATCTGGCCCATGGGCCGCATTTTGCCCACCCCTGGGCTAAAGGAATTAGAGGGGAAAGGAAAGAACTTCAAATACAGTATTCACAGAAACACTATTTGTATTTGACTGAAAAAAAATTAGTCCAGAGAGAAGTTCTTTATGTTTTTCTGACAAATAACAGGTGGACATACTCATTTGACTCATGCAATTTAAGTCAATGAAGTTGCATATGATGGCAATAAGAGACTGACCCCAAATGTAAAGACGACCTTGCATTTGCTAAAAGGAGAGAACAGAAATGAAGGTGGAGTGCCTGGGAAGAAAAAGAAACAAAATTAAAACGAGCAGATTTAAGATAAAACAGACTGGAGAAAGTTTGAGGGAAGAGAATATACAGATAGAAAAAAGAATATAACCTCATTTCAGGTTTGCTTCAAATGCACAGGAAGAAAGTAATACTGAGTAAGAAAAGGGGGAAAAGAAAGTAGAGTCAAAGGTTCAAGAGTACTTAGGACCGGGAGAAGCAAAGCAACCACGGAAAGCAGCAACCATGATCAGCAGGTTCTTGAGGTTTATAAAACTGGAAAAAACTTTAGTTTAATGTTCTCT